TGCATTTTATGCTGGTTTTCCTGGTAGGTTTTATTAGTACGTCATGGTGTGAAGTTCTTCATTTTATCTATGAGGTTCTTATTTCAATATATGCTCATTTTTCTTTTCTCTCGAGCAGAAACTGTGCCAGTTAGAACTGTAAACCGGCAATGTTCATCAGGCCTTCAAGCAGTTGCTGATGTAGCTGCAGCTATTAAAGCTGGATTTTATGACATTGGTTTGTTTGCCATTTCCTTTTGCTGAAGTGCATTGTAACTGCATTCCCTTGGATTCGGTGTTCCTCTAACAAATCATGTTTGGCTAACTTACCTCTAACAAATCATGTTTGGCTAACTTACCTCTAACAAATCATGTTTGGCTAACTTACCTCTAACAAATCATGTTTGGCTAACTTACCTCTAACAAATCAGGTATTGGCGCTGGATTGGAGTCTATGACCGCAAACCCAATGGCTTGGGAAGGATCAGTCAACCCAAAAGTATGTCCCTTGTTCTATGAAAAATATTGTGTATTCTTTTGTTATATATTGTTAGGCTTATTCTTAGAGATGAGTTCTATTGGAAGGATTATCATGATCTGTAACATTTGATCTCAGGTTAAGATGATGGCACAAGCTCAAGACTGTCTTCTTCCTATGGGTATTACTTCTGAGAATGTTGCACATCGTTTTGGTGTGACAAGGCAGGAACAAGACCAGGCTGCAGTAAGTTAAATAGACCCCTCAATTTATGATCATGTCTGTGGCATATATTCTCATCTCATTTTTATCTCTGTTGCTAGGTTGATTCGCATCGTAAGGCTGCTGCAGCCTCTGCTTCCGGAAAATTCAAAGATGAAATAATTCCTGTACCCACTAAGGTGGTATCCCTGTCTAAATTTTAACCACTGGGGTATCCATTAATAGCTATATCAACTACCCTCTTACGTTTCTGATGTCTTCTGTTAAAGATTGTTGATCCAAAAACCGGAGATGAGACACCGGTAACGATCTCTGTTGATGATGGTATACGGCCAAATGCCTCTGTTTCAGACTTGGCAAAGTTAAAGCCAGTGTTCAAGAAGAGTGGAACTACTACTGCTGGTAATTTGGTAGTCTTTGGGTCTGTAATGTAATTTAAATTTTGAGTTTGGTGAATAAAGTTTTCCTCTTCGCTGCAGGGAACTCTAGCCAAGTCACTGATGGTGCTGGAGCTGTACTACTTATGAAAAGAAGTCTTGCAATGCAAAAGGGACTTCCTATCCTTGGTGTATTCAGGTCTGTAGTAACGTTACTTGCAGTGAGCGTCTTTTGGTTTTCTCCACGTTAGTGGTTTTCTTCACAATTCCTCCGACTCATGCCTTGACCTTAGTCAGCTGATGACAGTATACTTTTTGCATCTTTATTCTATTATTGGTGTTTGTCTTAAATGAGAACTAACACCCAGTGTTCATGCAGGACCTTTGCTGCCGTGGGTGTAGACCCTGCTATTATGGGAATTGGTCCAGCTGTTGCAATTCCTGCTGCTGTCAAATCCGCAGGCCTTGAACTTGAAGATATTGATCTCTTTGAGATAAATGAGGTAATTTACATAAATTCATCAGCTCTCCCGTCTTATATGCGTAGAGTACAATTTCTTGACTATGGCTCTTGTTTAGGCATTCGCATCACAATATGTCTATTGCCGTAAGAAGCTGGAACTTGACCCAGAGAAGATCAACGTTAATGGAGGTGCAATGGCCCTCGGGCATCCTTTGGGCGCTACAGGTAAATTTGACCATTTTATAGAATAACAATCACGGGGATGAATTAAAAGCTTCGTGTAAGAACATGTGTTGTACTAGACTCCTCTTGTTGGAGTAGCAGTGGTTTTATCGCCAGTCAGTTGATCAATAGGTATATGGGACGCTACCTTTTCGCTCTTATCAGTCCTTACAACAATCTATCAGCTTGGGGGGGGGGGCCTTTATATTGATACAATACTCTCCAAGTTTAGCATGCATGATTCCAAGAAAGGATTCCTTCCTTTC